CTCCCGTCCTTCGCGTGAGTGGACGGGGCCGAGTCCGTCAGGTTTGCCCGTGACGATGCAATTCTGCAGTTGATTCGCACGTTCTCTCAGAAGACGCCGAAGATGGCCAACGATCCGTTGCTGGTCGGGTTGATGTTCTTGGAAGAGCCGCTACTGTCCGTGCCCGTTGTGCATGTCGATGTCGGGCCAATGTGGGTATTGCATGGCCATGGTACTACCCAAACAACGTCGCAATCCAGGATGCTGGGCATATCCGCTCAAACTGGTGCTTGCTACGACCAGTCGGTCCAGCACAAACACAGCGCTAGTGTGGATGCATGGCCTCGGTCATTTTTTCTGAAGTTGCTACGCACAGCGCCACTGGAACCGAGTGAATTGTACACATTTTGGTACCATCGCCACGGCGTGATGCCTACGGTCATGAGGTGCATGCGACATCTCACGACGCAGTGGCGGGCGTTGTTCCCCGGTCTGTTTGCCGTTCGATGGAGTGCCAGCATCCTCCACTCTTTTCCCGCCATGTACAGAGCCTTGAGCACGCGAAGTCGCGCGCGATTTGTTCGCACTCGCCCGTCCGAGCCACGACGACGTCATTCTTGGCGGCATGGCCGAACTCATCCGAGTCCACGTGCACTTGGCAAAACAAAGTTTGTGTGTTTACTGGGCGCACGGGGCTCCTACCCATGGCCTCGAGCATGGTGTAGCTGTGATGCCCATCCTGCGCTTCAAGGATCCTGGACGTTGTGCAATGGCCGATGTGCCAAAACGTAATGTGCATGGTTCGTCCGGAACATGCTGTCGCGGTCGACAGTGACCGCGTTGCTCGTTACCTACGTGCGGGGAAGAAATGCCGAGATGGGACGTCGCCAGAGCTTTGTTCAAAGTTGGCTGGCACGAAGTTTCGTGTTGGCGGGTAGAATTCGGTGTTTCTGCGATCGAAGAGACGCCTAGCAAGGTAACTCGCTCAAGCTTCTCATGCGGCGTCATCCTGCCTCCTCCGAATATCCGTGAGAAACGTGATGCCCGCGCCATTGTCAAGGCGAATCATCTGCAGCATGCCCATCCACGGTATATTTGGTTGAAGTGGACGCGCCATCGAGGCGGTCCAAAACGCGCTTGAGTACCACGCACGGCACGATCGCATGCAAATTGCATCGTCCATCAAGCGTTGGCCGCTCGATGTCCCCGTCGCATGCAACGCCAGCTCCGAGCTCGATCGCTCCATTCGTTCAGGGTTTCGTGAGCAAATCATTGTGTTATGTTGATTTCGGTGTTGAATGAATCGGTCACCCGACGACGTTGATAACCTCTTGGGGTAGCAAGCCCAATTTGTGCAAGTACGAGAGCTGCTGCAGCGTCAGTCGGGTCGGCTTGGAAAGAACTGCACCGACAACACGTCCGAGGGGAAGGTCCCACATGCGCCTGGGCCACGGTGCGTCGCGCGGGACGACGAACGACTCTGGCACGTGGCGCGATTGATGCATGTCGCAATACAACTTCCACGCGTCCGCGCGACAAGCAAACGTGAACTCGACCTTGTCCCACTGAAAACCGAGTTGGTGGAGCTCGTCCAGTTGCTCAAAGTTGAGTCGATGCGATCGACTCTGAATGTTTCGCACGGCGGTGTAGAGCTTGAGACCCCATGTTGGAGCTGGCCATTTTGGGTCGCCTTCTGGGACGGTGAACTCGGGGGGAACGTCGAGGTCGCCGTGGATGTCGCGGTACGTCTGCAAAGCCAGCATGCGCTTTTTCCAGCTCAAGTCCCATGACGACCAGACAAAACCCACTTGGTCGAGCTGCGCCCGACGAGGCTTGGGCAGCGCCTCGCGGTGGAAGCGCAGGCCTTTGACTACGGTGCCTAGAGGAATGCCTGCGAGATGGGACGGCCAGTTTGGGTCGTCCAGTGGAACTTTAAATGATGTCGGGACGTTCGTGTGGCCGTTGATGCTGTGGTAGAGCTTAAGGGCGGTCAATTTGTCTGACCAGGTCACGCGGGCGACGTATTCAAACCCCACATCGTTGAGATCCTTTTGCTGCTCCTCCGTCAGAGTATTCTTCTTCAGGGCAACGCGCAGTCGATTCACGACTTTTCCGAGTTTGAGGCCCTTCGTCTCCGGTGGCCACGTGGTGGTGTCGTCGGTCGAAGTGGAGTCGGCTACGACAAATGACTGCGGCACTTGGAGATGACCGTGCTGCTCGTTATAGGATTTCAGCGCCATCAGCGTAACGTGCCATGACTGTCCCCTTGCATTCCGAGTAGACATGGTTCGCACAGCGATTGTCATCGCCGCCGCGACGCCGCGTGCCATGCCCTGCCAGCGACCCAGCATCATTGTTTGAACAAGTTTGTTCGATTCTGATTGGCTGTCCAGTCTTCATTCTGATTGGCTGCTTGTTTCCCAAACCGGATCTGGCGACATTTTCGGTGCCGGGCGAGGCTGGCACGGCCGTGTTGAGCAAGCGAGTGCTCTTGAGTGAGGTGGCTGAGCCGAACGCAGCAGTGCCTCTTGACAGAACCTCATATGAAGCGGGCTGGTGACTCGTTGCCAGGGGACACCGCCACCGCAGCGACCAGCTGTGAATCGGACGATGAAAATTGGGTCAACGAGCTCGAGTTGGAATTGAAGCTGGAAGGTAATGCCACGAGTTGACTTCCCTGCTGGACGGCGGCTTGAACGAATCGATGGCGTAGTGAAGAAGAAGCCTAAGCTCACTGCAGCACCCGACTTTCCCCACGACGTGTTGTTGATCTTGTTCACGTTCGTGTCGGTGGGACGGGTGTGCAAGGCATGGAGTCTCGCGAGTGCTGAAGGTAGCAGACAAACGCAATGTAAACAAACGTCACACGGGATGTTGTAGTCACGAGAGGGAAGCTCGTGAAAAGTCTGGAGCAGGTGTTTGACCAGTTCGCGCCGGGCGACCCCGCGTGCCAGTACCTGGGCAAGGTCATCGAGGCTGAGCTTCACGCTCATCACAATACATGGTGCTATCTCCTCCCCCTCAACCCGTGACGATGAAACCTCGCGTAGTTCATCGCACCCTTTGTAGTGACTTCTCGATCTCGAAGGGATATCGGGACAAAGCTCGCATGCTGCTCTTCAACCTCCGCGACGTCAAGAACGATCTGCTGCGGTGCCGCATGTTCTCGGGGGAACTCACTCCCATGGCACTGGTGCGCATGAAATCGCGGGACATGGCGAATCCGCATTTAGTAGCTCAACGCAAAGGATGGATCAAGGAACGGACGGCTGAAGTCACGCGGAACGTTCGCCATTTCCACGGGATGGTCGAGTCCAACATGTTTACGTGTCCGTCGTGCGGAAGCAACAGGACACAGCACTGCCAAGGCCGAAGGAAAGCTAGTGCCGATCGCCTCTGCATTGTCGTCATGTGCTGCCAGTGCCCCCATCGGTGGCAGGTCTAACACCACAAACGCTCGTTCAAACTTTATTCGGTCAGGAGCTTGCCTCTTGCACGACGAGTTGGAGCATACGGAAGCTGGACAAACGCGCCCACGGCGTCAATGTGAGATGCACACCGACGACCTTTGCAGCTCCCTGGGCTCCCGGTGTGGCCAACGCGGCTCGAGTTGGCTGGAACTCCAAGGGGCCAACCTGCATCTCGCAGAGCTCGTCCCGTGCTTTTTGGCAGAGAAATCTAGCTAGATGTTGGGCAGATTTACAACGAAGAGCCAAATGTGAACTCTGTCAACGGTTTACATGGTTAAATATGGCTGGGAAGGACGTGGAAAAAGTGAATCGTTGGCTCGGTGGCCGGCGCCTGCAGCTTGACCCCCACGACGGTGTTGCAGTCAGAGCACTCGACAGCTACGTACACCTCGCTTTCGGTGGACGGAGCGGCTGGGGCGAGCTTCTGGTTGTCATACACGAACGTGCGCTCCGTGTTGATGCGACAATTCACGGCCTTGGACGCGCGGTACTGCGTATCGTATTTTTCATGCCGTTGGCTTGCATATGACACTATCATAAAGCAACACGGGCAAGCGAGTGCTGCGTCTGTATCTGGGTCGATCTCCCCGCCTGGAGAAACCCACACATTAATGAAACAGGTGAACCGTTGACTGTGTGGATACGTACGAAGGTTCTTGCTCACGTATGCATCGTCGTAGTCGTCCACTGCGTCTCCATACAGCTCGACTTCCTCTTGCTCAACGACTGGAGTAGAATCTGACGTCTTTCTTCCGGGAGGAAGCATTTCCGCTTCCTCGAACTGATCGTCGTCCCCTTCGAAGACAGGGTTGGTGTCATCTGGTGGTGCATGCGTTTCAGGAAAGTAACGGTGTCCGCCCAGCGCCGCACTCTCCATATCATGGTCAAAGTCTCCCTTGGAGAGTGTTACGGCGTCAAGGGCCAGCAGCATCTTGGCCATCCTCTCCTCGAATGGCGTAGGCATGACACCGCCGCGTCAAATCTGCTGGAGTGGAATAAAATCCGGTTAACCATCTGTCAATATCCGGATTGACATCGACTTCATCTTGAACTCACGAAAGTGGCGCATCCGATGCTGCGGCAGTTCAAAGCCGCGTACGATGCTGGCGTGGAAGACGAAGTGTCCCTAGGAGAGCATGTCGCGATGTATCTCCAAAGCACTGCGGTGGTGGTGCCAGCTGACGACCTCGTCTGGGTGTGGGAGCTTCTCGTGGTGTCAAGGCAGGCGGCGGCTCCTCATGCGAGTCCCCACGACGTCGTCCCACTCGCGATGGACACTCCCCTTCGGCGATTGAGCGCGACGGTGCGTTCAATGCTACAGCCGCTTCCATTGACGACAGCGCACTCACACATGCAACACTTTCACGTATGCACGTCCCATCGTCCATGGACCACCGGCTGTGATGCATGTGTTGTCGCAGGGCCTGCCCTCCGTGTGCAACGTCCTTCTCTCCGTGTGCTTCTCCACGAGTACAGCACAGAAGGTCCTGAGTGTTTTGCTCGAGACGCTACTGCCTGACTACCATGTTGCGTCCATGAGTGGGTTCCGCGTCGACTGGAAGGTGGTGGATCTTACGCTCGCTCGGTTGGATCCGTCGCTGAGTCGACATCTAGCAGGTACGCATGAAGCGCTGACGACACCAACGTGTATTGAGAAATCTCTTTTTGCAGAGCTCAACGTGTCGATCGAAGTGCTGTGCTCCCAGTGGTTCTTCTCCATGTTCGCGGACGCGTTGCCGGCAAGCGTCGTAACTCAGCTGTATACATGGGTACTGGCATCGCCGACCGGTTCCAAGACCTCCGCTCACCCATGCAACTGGCTTGTCGCCACGGCGCTGGCATTGCTGCTCTTTGCCGCGGACGTGCTGCATGCCGCGACCGATGCCAACACTGTCACGACCCTTCTGCATCACCTCACCCATGTCATACTTGCCATCGACGAAGACGTTCGGGGTATTGTGCTGCAATGGGTGCATGCATTTCATCTCCATTTCCACGACGCGCTCCATGCATGCCGCGTCGACATGACTCTGGACGAAGATGCACTGCCCCGACGAATCTTTCTTGGATGGAGACCCGCCACCGCCACGTCTGTGGCTTCTCCACCATCTTCGTCAAGCAAGTCGATACCTGCACGATGGCGGCGCACGTTTCGCCGCCAAACGCGGCCCTCCACCCCTGCAAACGCGGCGGACTTGGACATCGACATCGAAGGAGCTATCGACGCCGATATCGCTCGGACGTCGCAAGCGCCGCATGAAACGCAATGGCCGATGTTGCGCCAAGTTCTCGTTGCGTTTGCGTGTGAAAATCCCCATATTGGTTACTGCCAGGTACGACGGCTTGTCCATCCCGGAGGGTGCGTCAAAGATTGGAACGTAGGGGATGAATGAGCTGGCAGCAGTTCTCCTGAGGGAATTTGGCGCTGTCCAAGACCAACCCGACCTTGCGTTGGATGCGTTGACGTACCTGGTCGACGATGTGCTTCCGCACTATCACAGCCCGTCTCTCCTCGGTCTTCACGTCGACTGCGCTGTCATTGAGACCCTCGTCCACCAAAACGACCCGCACCTCGTGCATTGCATGCAATCCCTGGGCCTCAACATGGAGATTCTGTGCACGAATGTATGGCTTTCCTTGACGATTTCACCCTGAGTGTGCTCGTAGTGGCTAATGGCGTGTTTTGCGACGACGTCGCCGCCGTGGTTCCATGTCAGCGTTCTCGATATGATGTTTGCCGCCGAGTCTGCCGCCGCCGCCTCCACCGTTCTCGTCGTCACGTCTGTCGCCATCTTTTTGCACCTCTCGAGCTCCCTCATACACCAGCACGACACGGGGGGCGTCCTCCATGTAATCAAGGAATTCCTCGCGGCGCAATCCACTCCTTCGCCGGATGCCCTCGCATTTCTGTCCCTTGTGAGAACACTTCAACGTCAATTGCCTTTGCAGGAGCTCCAGGTGATGCGAGAGGTCCATGCCGCCGCTGTCCAGGAAAAACTACTGGCATTTCAAGCGAAAAAAGACGCCATCAAGGAGGCCGCGACTGTCAGCTTGCAGTCAAAGCCATTACCACCAACGTATTCGTCGTCCTCTTCACGGTTCAAGCGCTTCCTAGGCAGCAGTGCGCTGAAAAAGGCGCCGACTCTGTTTGGTAAGAAGCGGCAAGACCACACGGAAGACAGCTCCGAGAAAAGTCGAGTTGCGGATGAGTTTGACGACGTCGGCCGCGAAGGCGCTGATGGAGACTCGGATCTGCTGCACAGCCAACTTCAACACACGACGTATCTCCTGGAAGGGGACGCGATCGACGCGGTGGAATGCGCACAGATCAAGGAGCGAATCGTTCACACGTGGTCCTCTGCAAGACACACCCCCGCGCATGCACAGACTCGCGTGGATCTGCTCAAAGCATCCTTGTTCGTATCCCCACAGTCTCATGGACAGCCAACGCCATCGTCAAGTAGCAAGGCGCAGTCGTTGGTTTCTCGGCACACTGCAAGGGCTCGGGCGAGTCTGCATGCTCTTGGTGTCAAGTGGCGGTCGCGGTCTCCGTCCAAGCCGAGCGACATTGTGAGCTCCACGAAGAAGACCCCGCTCAGTCCCACGGCGTTGCAGCTGAGCGAGATCGCCGAATCGTACTACGGCGGCGACATCACGAAGGACCAAAGCATTCGACGGAAGACGGACCTCATCGCGAAGAGCATGTTCCCAGATGACGACAAGACCTCACAGTGTCCGACGTAACAATAGACTGTCGAAACACGGCGCCATCTGTGAAACGCAATGTCCAATTTCTTGCCCGTGTATTCCAATATCCTGTGAAAACGTATCCAAAATTTCTATAGAATCAAAGAGTTTCTAGCACGGTGAATCGATGCACTGATTTTGGAGTGTCATTTCCATCGCCTCGGGAATAAAATTCGACATGAAAGTGAACAATTTATTGCAATGGGACGTCGCGGAGTTATTTTTGGGGCATGCGCAACATTTTCTGTAGAAAGGGGGGTAACTGCCCATCAATTTTGAAAATGCGCGCGACGACGGCGGGGCTGGTGCTGACGGCGGCTGCGATGACCATGGCGCTCGTGGTCACACGGTATGCATGCGCTTGACTGTTGCATTCGCTTGAGCTCATGTCCGTTTTTGCCCGACCGATGCATGAAGCCCCGTTGTCGTCCACATCCCTCATGTGTATGTTGTTTCGCCCCAACCGGTGAATCAAGCAGACCCATGCATCTTCATGTGAGCGTAGTGCGGCAGGCTTTGGTGAGCGACCGAACCTCCCAGAGACGACGCTCGTCATGGGTATGTAGGTTCCGTTCATTTCCGCACGTCTGATGTATCTCATGTGGTTCGCTGACTGCAGCGAACCCGGCCAATGGATGCAGCCCATATGCCCATGAAGTCGCGAACAAGGTAGTGCTTGTGCGCCGAGGGAGCTGCCGCTTTGTCACCAAGGCTCGAATGGCGTATTGGGCGAATGCGAGCGGACTCATTGTCATGGATGACATGCATCGTGGTGAGCCTGGTTTCAACGCGACAGACGGCATCGATGACAACGGGAGGTGGGAAGTTCGCATGCACAGCGACGATTCGGTCCATCCAAGTGGTGATTTCCCTCAAGAAGCCCATCTTCCGCCGTCGGTGTTTGTGTCGTATGCATCTGGACGCCGCCTCGAGCGACTCGTGCAAGACATGTCTTCGTCGCAACACCTACACGACGTTCTCGTGGCGCTCAACACAACCGCCGAAGGTACGAAATCTATTCTGGCAATTCTCAACAAAACGTTGCAGTGTACCAGCCGTACACGGAAGATCTGGGCATTCTCGAGCTTCGGCTGTCGACGTTCATCGACCTCGTCTACACCATGCTCCCGTTCATGGGCTATGCATATGCCTCGTCGTTTTGCTTTGTCCTGTTGAGGTATTGACAACGGCCCCCTCTGTGCAGCTTGTATCACTCGTATGATTCGTAGTACATTTTACGCCCGCGCCGTCGAAACGTCGGCGTCGTACACGAAGCAGTATGGTACGGCGTCTCCCTCGTTGGAGTTGTGGACGCTCACGGTAACTAGTACGACGAAGCATCTGGAGACGACTGGCCGTGGTGCCGTACGGCGGTCCGCTGCACCATGGCTATACGTGCTCGATCTGCCTGGATGACTTTGTTCTTGGCCATCCTGTCAAGGTGCATCGACTCCTTCGTGGCGCATGTCACCTTGGTTTAGGTCCTGCCATGTCCCCATGCGTATCACCAAGACTGCATCGACCGATGGTTTGAGAAGGGCAGCAATGCGTGCCCCATGTGCAAGCGTGAAGCTTTCTCTTGACGACACATGTCTTCGATTTCGTCTAGTCATCATGAGACCCCTGTAGCTCCCTCGGAATCCAACGTGTTGTATCGTGTGCCGGACTATTGGCTCGCATGCATGTCCCAATACACGTCGATCGACCCAACAGCGAGCACCTGACCGAGTGGTTCCTCCAGTGGCGCGCCTGCCTTTGCAACACCACGTCGAGAAGATATCGACTGCGCGAGGGAGAAAAATGGCGGCGACATGGCCTATCACACCAAATGGCTGCTGCTGCATAAAGGCACGCACTAGAACGATCAAAATCGCTGCTGCATGAGCGAGATTGCCCTCGGCATGCAGCGGTTGCAGTCGGCACGTACATGGCATTCCACGCAGCATGTCATCTCGGCGATGTCGACACACAAAGGTCGTCATAGTCATATATTAAATATTTTTAGGAAATGGAGAAAATTTGGAAATATATTAAACCGTCAAGGAAGATTATTTTTGGATGCAAAAGCACGTTGTTCACGAAGGGAGGGATCTTGCTGCAGCGAGAATTCCAGTGGAAGATGGAGGCAGCGCAGAAGGAGCGGAGCGGCGGAAGGACGTCTGGTTTGGCCACAGAGACGCATGCACTGATCGAACCGCTTCAGCAGGATTGCGCTGTGCTGGGCTAAAAAGGAAGTGCAGGAGAAAATGTTCGATTTGGATACGCAGCGCCCCGGGGTGCCGAGACAGTTCAAACGGCGGCACACGACAGAAGGGACAACGACGAGAACTCGACATGCGACAGGGTCACGCGGCGTGGCTGTGGATGGCGGCGCTGTGTCTGTTCATTCCTTGTGCATGCGCTCTAGTTGTCGAACGGTACGTCTCGACATAGTGACGGATTGAATGGATTCCAGAGGAATCGCCATGGCTCATGGCGCGAGATGCTCTGTAGGCCGTGCTGTCGCGCGATGGATCACATGTACGTCGATGAGAACATCTACGACGGTGGAATGTGTCTAATGGGGTGCACTCGGTAGTCCTGCACTGTTTGGAGCGAATGTGTCGAACCACGTCGACTTCGTGCGCCGCGAAATCGTCAAGGGTAAGCCGCCAACGAAACCTCTCATGGCTGCGTCCTTCCTCCCGGATCATACACGCTAACGTGCGTCTCTAGTCGAGCCATTCGATGCGTGCACAGGGGACATACAGAACGACCTGAGCGGGAAAATTGCGCTCATTCTCCGTGGAGAGTGCAACTTTGCCTGGAAGGTGTGGCAAGCACAGAAGGCGAATGCGATTGCTGTCGTCGTGATGGACGTACAACCGCGAACACCCCACGAGTAAGCACTTTGCATACCCTATCTACTTGCCTTGCACCGCCACACGTCACACGAGGGCGATAGACTGTGGGAAGTGCAGATGGTAGGCGACAAATACGCGTCGGACGTCCATATTCCGTCGGTATTTGTGTCGCACGAGACGGGGAATGCAATCCTCGAAAGTCTTGAAGACCAAGTCGTCCTTGTCACCATGAACGCCACTGGGCATCGTACGTGAACGTCCTCGTTCCACTTCCTGACCTCGTCGCCAGGGACATCGTTGCAACGGAGGCACCACACCGTTCTGGAAGGCGTCGTGCTCTACGCGCTGTCAACGTCCGCAATGTTTCTCGTCCTCAGGTGCGCTTTCGATCATGTCGACACGCAAGCTCCCATGCCGCGAATGTAGCGGCGTGTGCTTCGTATTTTCCAACGCGGCGTCGTGGTACCAGCGCACAGGTGTCGCAGGTCCAACCCATGCAATAGCTCATGCTGGATTGAGCAGAACGCACGCGCGCAGCCAAGCGGTTGCCTGTGATGGCGTACGAGGTACGCCGCGCCATCGGCACAGGGACTGAACCAGGTGTTGATGCAGACGAAGGGCGATGACGACGACAGCACGTGTGCAATTTGCTTGGAGCTGTTTGAAAAGAAGGTCCTGGTCAAGGTGAGCAACGTCACTGCGGTGGTTGCAGTTGCTGAGCAACGCATTGCAGATGCTGCCATGCCGACATGAATTCCACCATACGTGCATTGATCCGTGGTTGGAGAAGCAGTCGAGTCAATGCCCCCTTTGCAAGCAGGATGCGCTGTGTTTGGGTACGATCGATCGACTATCCTTTCCGAGCACTGCGACGCGTGCTATAGGAGGAGGGTCGTGCGAGCTGCTGCCGTTGCCATCGCCCATGTCTTTGCATGGTCCTGTGACGTCGTCTCCATTCCAGGTACTCTTTGAATCCTCGCCGCGCCAGTTGACAGATCCGCACCGGTGTGTAGATGCTCATGTACACGTGCATGATTTTGCCGATCGTGATGCTTGCGATTGTGCTCGGGGTGCTGTTTTGACCCGACGAATGTATAGTCAACTTAATGCATGGGGGCGTCCTCGGCCTTGATGGTGCTTTTCCACCGCTTCCAAGATTGGTCCAGCGCGTCGTGCGCGTTGAGTTGGACCCGATATAGCGCTGCAAACATCTTGAGACCGGCGTCGTACGGGTTTTGATAGCCGGGGGGGGTTGGCACTCCTCGCATAAACTCGTCGTGGCTACCCGCTTGGAGAAGCGCATTCAAGCATGACGAAGACATCCGTCGGACGTGTTGTGGAGCCGCCGCATCTTGGTTGCACTGGTCATCATCGGCGCCTTCGAGAGCGAAACGGACAGTGCCGTGCCTACGACAACGGGCAACATGTCCAAAACGAGTCGACAATGGCATACCACCACAACAGGATGAGCAGCGTGACCGACACCAGGACAACGACAGCCACCCATTGCTCGCGCCGACCGAGCTGGGACAAGATGAGCGCCATCGCAATCTAGATCACGGGCGTTCGCCGTCAAAAATACGAGTGGGAGACACCACCTGGAAGAGCAAGGCCGACACAAGGACGAGCGAGAGGACCGACCGAGTGACGTGGCCACGGCCCGGCGCCTTCGGATGGACGTATAGCGCGTTGTACTTGGTGGACACGACGCGCGTGTAAAAGTAGATGGCGCCGCACGGGACCAGCGCCGGCGACAGCGTTGTCCCGAGCAACGTGACTAGAAACGCGCTACACAGGACGACTTGATGCCGCGATTCGGGAAGCGGGGTCCCAAGCACCTCAACATGAGCGCGTACTCGACGCCAAAGTAAAACGGAGCTGGGCGACACGCTTCAAAGAGTTCGGTCGGTGTGATTGCTCGTCCACGCAGCCTACACGCAGCAAGGTCGAAAATTGCTCGCGTGGCTCGAAAACTCCATCGCGCCGTGCACAAGGCGAGCAAAGAGGTACTTACCACGGCTGGTAGAGGACTCGCTCTCCAGTGCGGAGAACTTGAACGACCGTCCCGAGGCACGTTCTAGCCACGCGATAAACAAAACGAAATGAAACAAGGCGACGACTATCGACGAGAGGAGAGGGTACGGACAATTGCGCCAAGTACAAGATGAAGAAGTTGCTGCACACGTTGAAGAGAAAGCTATTGACATACGAGGCGTGCGTCGACTGGTCCAAGTTGAGCGGGTTTCCTTTCGACGACGTAGTCGTCGCGTAGACGGCAGTGACCCCAATCGACGGAAACAAGATCGAGCTCTAATCCACCGTCGCCCTGTCAACAGCGCGCCATCATCGACGATACGCCGTACGAGCACGAGGTAAACAAACGATTTGACGAGGAGGCTCCGCATGCGTTTGGTTTCGGTGAGCCACGGCTCAAAGATCGACAGGTAAAACAGAGCGACGAGGAGCAGCGCGTTCACACTGACCTACCAACACGGCATTGCGCGGCCATGGCGACAAGTGACACGTACCAAGAGCAACGTGGGCACGTATGTGCGAAGAAACCCCGTCACGATCGAATTGTCCTCGAGCAATTTCGTGTACAACGGACTGGATGGGTCCAGGTTGATGTAGAGCAGCACCGACGCCGGCGTCGAGAAGAGGAGGAGGATTGTCATGGTGATGCCTTGGTAAAACACCAGCACCATTGCGCGCCGGAGGGACCGCGGCCGCGAGATCTGGCCCAACAATTCAAACGTGGGGTACATCCAAACGGAGGCGCACATGATTACCAGGTTGGCCCATCGAATGTCACCCGGTTCGGGGGCTGGTTGCAAGAGCAAGTTGGGCAAGTACGTCAGCAACGCTACGTGCAATTGAGCTTGCGACAAACTGCGCCAACATAAACGAACGGGACGGGTGGGAAGAATCGACCAAGTAGTCGGACGGCGACCGCTGGCGACGCTGGCGCATCGTGTCGCGCACGCGAAAGAAGGACGCGTCGACTTGGGCTTTGAGCTTCGTCGTGGCTGTTTGGGTCGCGAGAAATTGCTCGAGAAACGCCAATTTTGCCCTCGTCTGGCACACACGCGCGTCAGCCCCGTGGGAAACGATAGCGCTGCACCGCACGCACCGATCGGAACACGATGAATGCAGCGCCAGTGCCCTTGCGCTGCTGGAACTTGGTCAGGATTTCCTAGCACGTGTGGTGGCACGTTCTCGTCTTTGACAGTCTCATGTGCGTACATGCGGGTACGTTTCCAACTCTTGGTGAATCTGTTCGAGTCGCCGTTGAATTCGCGGCGGCGGGACGGCCGTGTCGAGGGATTCAAAGTCTCCCGAGTGAACGCCGCCGCGCAGTGCCTGGTCGATCTCATGTTCCATGTCCACCAACGCGGCTTGCTTGTCGTTGTTCACGGGCGTGTCGCGGTGTTTCAACGTGCGCTTGCATGGCAAACATGCTGCGTAGTCGTAGGCCATGTCCAACACAGACGGCATGCAACTCGTGCCCGGACACCACTGCAAAAACCACGGGAGCGGGCTGTTCGTCCCGTAGATATGGACGAGGCGGCTGGCTTCGTTGCGCAGCGCCATGCGGCGGCCAAGGATCTGGTACACCTGGCTCAGGTCGTCGACGACTCGAACGGTGTCGACGTCCTGTGGAGGTCGGTCGACGAGTCATGGGATGGATGGAAGGAAAACGTCGGGCGTACATGGGGCGTGTAGTGGTGTGCAAGGTGCATATGCAGCATTCGGCTCGTGATGTAGTGGGGCAGTCCCGCTTGAATGAAGACGCTGCGAGGGCCAACTAGCGTAGAGTCTTGCAGGCGGAGCTTCGAAAGCAGGACGTATTGGCTGGACATGGCATCAGTCTCCCCGCCTGTGGTTGGAGTGAGCTTGTACCGATAGACAAAGACGAGCATGGCGACCGTCGCAATGTAGCAGACGGCGACGTGGCCCCAGAACCAATGGCTGTTCAATGGGACGTTGCTGATTGTGGCTTCTTGGTACGACTTGGTCAGCGCGCCACCCGACACGTAGTTCTACAGCCACGATGAGTGCCCCGCGGTGGATCGACCAAGTGCTCACAATCGGCACAAGGATGACTGTGCTGAAAATGGAAAGCCCAGTAAAGAGGTGGCCAGCGTCCCGGAGAAAGTGCAAGCACAGCGCCGTTTCGACGCCGCAACGGTCCACGACGAGTTTGTCGGCGATGGGGAGGCGCCAAAAGAGCAGGATGCGGTCGCGAAGCGAAGGAGCGTCCAGCGGATCCACTTGGTCATGACCGTGGGGGAACGCCATCTCTTCTGTGCGAAAAGGTACCTGCTGGAAGAGACCCTCCACGTGCGCACCCCAAAATGGAATCGACGACTTGGACATGCGGCGCCACGCGAAGAATGCCAGGCCAAGCACGAGGACGAAGGCGCTAAGACCGACTTGGTAGAAGACTGTCGGCCACTGGTTGTTGATGACGAATACGACGAACGCCCCTGACGAGCTCAGCGTGAACGAGACGGACGACTCGTTGAACAATGTCAACGATGTCGACATGGACAACAGCTCCCACTCGATGAGGAACCGACCGGGCGACCGACCGACAATGGAGAAGTTTGCGGCAGAAGTGCCTGGCAGCAGCACCACGGGATTTGGACGAACGTCGGGCACGTTCTTGTCGCCAACAACGCGGAGCCCAACCAAAACCTCTCTCGGCACAGTGGCGTTCGCAGAGATGATGCTATGAATTGCCTCGTTCAAGACTCCATACGCGCTGCCGGACGGGACATTGATCTGCACCGTCTCCACATTGGCGGCCGCAACAAAGGCTATGCCGGCCCACAGCACCACCCACAACCGCCGCGACCGTGGCCATGGCATACTTCGCGGTGTGAAACAATCAAATTGCGGATTCTCAACATGGAAGTACTTTACTGAATAGTCAAATACTTTATTGAATGGGTGCACCTTTTGAAACGTTGCCGAAAGGAAAAGTCTAAGAATACCATCGACGCCGCCGCAAGGATAGGGCGATGCTGCCGCGGCTAGAGATGCCTTCACCGGCGCGCGCAAGGCCTGGTGGCTTCAGGAAAGATCGAGCTCACCATCATCGAACCACACATCCGAGCCTCCAGCACCACCGCGTCGAGCAAGCGGGGCTGCTTGCCAGTGAAGGCATCGTCGCTGGCAATGATGCACACGACTACAGCTTGATCCCGCGCGAGTTCTACGTCGTTGAGACGAGCATCCTTCCAAAAGGCCCGTCGAATCAATATGCGTCGACGTTCAATGGATCCATGTGGGAAACGGTCGTGTTTCCGTCCCTGGAACCGCACACGCGCGCGGAAGTTCTGCACCTGCGGGACGCGTTGGCAAAAATGGAAGCCAAACTCAAGCAGGAGCAGCAGCACCAGGCGCCTCGTGCCCCTCACAACAGCAACGACGACGAAGACGACGATGGAGACAATGGCACTTGCACAAGCCACCCGAGTGTGACGTACTCGGCTGAGTATTGCACCAAGGAGTGGGAAGTGTACTCTGTGTGCTTCTCTGAACTCATTCGACAGCTCACGTTTGTCTGCCGCGACCAAGGCACCCTACTCCGCACAATTCAAGATCGACTGCACGACGTGTTCCAACGAGTGCTGGCGTCCATGCGAGCGATGGAGGTCACGATCAACGACTACGCGAAGGCATCTCTGCCTTCTCCCCAGCCGACGCGACATCGCGAGTCGTACACAGATGCGCAATCCAATCCTACAGTCAGCCTTTTGCCTGCCAACGCTTGCGACAGCGATGATCCTGCATCGTCCTTCGATCGGTACGTTGGTCATGTTGCGTGCCGTGTTGTGTGGGTCGGTGTGGCATTTTGCAATGGCGATGTCGCTTGTACGAGACATTTCTGATTTTTGATTGGCTGAAATGAATGGTTTTGTACACCGTGATTGGTGGAATTTGATGTCGTTTCTTGATCGGTCATAACCAAATTGCAGTGACGACGACGACTCGGAGCCGGAGGAGTTTATCTGCTCGTTCTGCTACGAGCTCTGCCGCGACCCGAAGAGGGAAAGCACACGGCGAAGCACGTTCCTGGGCAACATCAATCTGAAGCGTCTGAGTGTCGACATCGGGAGCGACTCGAAGAAGCTCCAGTCGGTGGCCAAGATTCAGGCAGTGTACCGTGGGTACAGGTGTCGCAAGCTGCAGAGGCATGCCACGCGCATCAAGCAGCGCAACGACGCTGCCACGCGCATCCAGCGTATATTTCGAGGGCGGGTCGAGTGCAAGAAAGCGGCAAACCGGCGACGGGTGCTCGCGATGTGGAAGAAAAGGGCCCATCAGCTGTCGGCGATCCAACACATGCAGCGAAGTGCGCGGCGCTTCTTGAAACGCAATCAAACGCTGCGTGAAGCCAAGCTGGCCGACGTCGTTGGGCAATTTAAGCTTGTGGACTCGGAAGTTGCCGAGAAAGTGCAAGAAAAAACCGCGGCGGTGGCAAAGTTGATGGCGAATGTCCAAACGTACCAGTCGCAAGTGCGGCGAATCGAAGGACTCCTTTCACCAACGCATACCACAAACGACCAGCAAGAGACCGGCACCGACATGGGCGGCGGCGACGGAAAAGGCGAGCAAGCCAACAAAACCCAAGCAGTGCCCGACGTCGCGGTGGACGACCCTCCACACGAAGAAGACGAGTCGTCGAGAATGCGTCTGGACAATCTGTGCGCAAGTGTGAGCGTTGGTCTCCGCTTGATTCACGAGCGAGCAGCGAAAATGCGCAAGCGGGAAGCCAAGCTTCAAGAAGAACTGAATGCAGCACGAAGGCATGTCAAAGACTTGGAGGCGCAGCAGGCAGCACAGGCTCTGACCCACGTCGAAGAGGACGACGACGACGCCGACGACTGGCACTTGCCCGGCGACGGCAATTCGGGTCGTTTCGACAATGCAAAAGGCACCGTGCGGACCGCGCGCGATTTGATCGACTCGATCAAGTCGATACGGGCAACGCGGCACTGGCAGGGAAAGGTGGCGTCCCCACGTCGAGGTGGCGGCGTCGCTTCGTCTTTGTCGGCACACGAAGTGAACGGATGTCACAGTCAGACTGCAGGCCATGCGTCCCCCACAAGGCCACACTCCACCGAACCCACCGTGCCTCCGTCTAGTGGTGCGTCGACTGTCCATGCGACGGCATCGCTGCTGAGCAGAATTCGCGTGGACGACGCCGTTCAACAGCGCGGTCCCCGACCGCTTGATTGGCTCAAGCAACTCATGGGAGCCATCTACGATACGATTCGAGCCACCGATGAAGATGCGCAGGTCGCGGCGCCGTCCCACGTCGTCTTCTGCACGTGGCTCGCACCCGCCGAGTACCTCCACGAGCGAGACATGGTCAAGGCTGCGATTCCCACGGCCAACATGTGCGACACCGTGTACGAGCACTTTCAGTGTCAGTTTGGGTTGACGTCCCTCGTCGATCAAGCGATCGGTGACCTGGCGACGGCTGTCCAGGCGCATGCGCTGGCCGACGACGACGTGCTGCTCTTCCAGTGCTTTCTCAATGGGGCTCGGCCCAAGCAAGACCTTCGCTTTTATTGTTACTTGCGCAGCGTATGCCCGCCGTTCCTGGATTCTCGCTCGCATCGCTACGTCGTCGACCTCCCGCACGCGCTCAAATGTGCTCACACACTGTTTCGGGTCGGCGAGAACCACGAAGACCCCGCCAAGGCCGCCGCCTACGCGACTTTCGTCGCCCAGCTCCACCTTCGCGCCATGCGACCTCCATCCTTCGCACGCCGCCACAATGTGTCGAGCACTGGTCCAACCGCGCCAAGTCCTGGCAAGAACATGCCGATGGCGCCTGCTGCACCGCCGCCAGCAACACCAAACACGCCGATTCTGGTGCTCTTCACCGATTTTTTCGACTTGCTTTGCGTTCACCATGCCGAAGCCAGGATGACGTGCCTGTGGCAACTCTGGGTCGTGAATCGATTCCAAGAGATGGATCTGGACGGCGACGGTGCGATCTCGCTGGACGAGTTTGTTCGTCCCCTGGTGCAGCTGCCGCAAGCACCGACGGCGCGGGAGCTCAAGCAGCTCTTCCAGCATGCCATGGCCAGGTCCACTGTCGTCGACAAGGCGACGGCGAGCATGACGTTTGCAACTTTTCAAGAGTTGATGCTGCGGCTCCTGCGGAACAAGCAGCTGCAAGCGAGCCCGGACGACATCGGGCTCCACCCGGCGCTGCGTCGGCAGGCCGCGGAAAGTCGAAAGCTGTTGCACACGATTGCGCGCCACTGGCACATGAAGAAAGAAGTGGTCGAGGCCATCGTGGACGGGATGCTCCAGCGAAGCGGCTCCCAGAGAAACTTGGCTGCGTACCTGTTGCACTTAAGAGGAGATCTTGAGTGCGTCCTCCTGTCGAGCGCTGTCAGCGTCGAAACGTGCTTGGAAGCATGGCACACATACGCGGCGATCGTGTGCATATTGCTCGCCGTCAAGGTGAAGAACGCGGCGTTCCAGCGAGTCACGGAGGCGCACGTTGTGGATCTCGAGCGCGTTTGGCAACTCCAGGGCGAAGTGGAAGCAAAGGGCTTTCGCAAGAATACCATGTCTGAGACCACCGCTGCGTCAGGTCCCCCGAGTCATGACGGAGAACACGGACGAAAGGTGTCCATGGCTTCTGTCGCACTGGACCCAACCGACAACCCAACGCCAGTGGAGAAGGAATCCGTCGTGCAGGAGGCATCAAGTACCCCAGCTAGAACGCTCTCATCCGCTGTATCTTCTTGGCATTGGGGATCACGGCCGCAGCTTCATCCACCCAGCCCTGGCGGCGCCGGCCTCCTCGCTTAAAAAGACGGCGTCGTTGTTGCATCGTATTTTTTTGTCTGTCATGGAATCACATACAAATATTGAGATAAATTGTGTATTAAAAAAAGAGTGACACTCGACCAGCAGTATTGAGAGTGAACCTGCACCGTTTCAATTGAAGAGGTGGCGACGGCCGACATGCCGGCGGAGGCAACGAAGTACCCGCGGTCGCCAAGCGACGAGGACGGCATCGAATTGCGGCCGCTCCTTCAAAAGTCCAGGAGGTAGGTCTTGATGCATGACGCATCATGACAAGGAGGACTAGCTTAGGATGCACGGGTCGTACGTCGAGCTCCAAGAGTCTACGTGACCATCTGCGTCGCAGCTCGGAAGGCAGCGAAAGCAGCTTCGAGGGTCCGAGTACTTTGGACGAACGAGAGAGCAAGCAGAAGATGCTGGAGAAGTCTCGGAACGCACTGCTCTTCTCGGTGTTTCTCGTCGTGTTGGGTACGGGCGTTGGTGTCACTGCGGGGGCGTTGTGCACTGCGACGGACCAGTTCATGGTTGCCGGCGCGGGAGTGTCATGCCTCTTTTCACTCTCGATCCTCGCCAGCTATTCCGAATGCGCACGGCTGCGCAAGTACCCGAATCAGCTCATCGTGCACAAAACGTACGTCGTCCAGGACGATCGACTGCGCCGACTCAGCGGATGCCTAGTGTCATCGATCTCGCCCTCGCCCTGGTCAACATCGTGCAGTTTGTGCATGCTTGGTCGCCGATGGGCCCGTCGCAAACAACTTCCATCGCTCAAGGTCGGTCGCGCCGCACGTGTGTTATCGACTCGTTCTCCATCCACCCTAGGGCTCCTCTTCGCCGGCGAGTTTTGGTTCTGCGCCATGTCTGTGGACCTGATCCAGTCGGTCACGAATCCGTTCTCGTCCTTCTCGTACAACCTGCAGGTCTACCGCCTCTGCTCGGTGCTCCTCGGTGTCGTCGGCAGTGTGGTCCTGCCGTCCGCGTCGCCGTCGCCATCGCTCCTTCTCGCATCGCTCCCTGTCATTCACCACAAGATCCAAATGTCATGGGTTATCTACTACGTGTCTGTTGCGTGCTCCATGCTCGTGTCCTTTGGCTGCTTCGTCTACGTCCAGCGGTACGTCCGTCCGCCGATATCCCTCGTCTTGTTACGTTGCCGCCGCCAGGCGCCTCGCGACTGGCCTCGAAGAAACATTTGACACGCGCAAGAAGGTCCTCGCGCACGGGCTTCTCGCCAGCGTGACGTACATTTCGTGGTCGTTGATCGCGCTCGCCCTCGTCGCGTCCACCGTGTGGAGTCCGTACGTGTGCGCCGCCTTCGTTTTCCTTGGCCACGCTCACAAGCAACCGCAGGACGTCCGCGGAATCGTTCCATGTCGTGCACCTTCACGCGTTTGTGCATGCCGCGCGAAGCCTCCTCAACATCCTCGTGTGGGTCCTCACCAACGGCCGCGACCTCGCGGCCATCTTGTGCGTTTCTCCGGGCCATGCATCATACCACCGTCGCGGCTCGGACGAGTGGACTGTCGAGAACGCGGACGAGCTCCTGAAACCGCAGCTGAACCTGGCGCTCCGTCGCCAACTCATTCAGATGGCGACCAAGGGGATCGTGGATGCCGTCGAGCACTACCTGCTGCTGCATCGATCGATCCGGACAAACCAGTCGTTCGCGTTGGACTGGGACCCCAAGCAGCGGTCGACATCCGTGTCGAGCGTCGATTTCGACGTCCGGCGGCATCTTCGCTTGCGCCCGATGGAAGAAATGCACTTTGAGGACTTTCAACCGCGCATATTTGCCACGGTCCGCGCGCTCAGCGACATTGACGACCACGAGTATCTCCGGAGCTTTCGGTCGACGGCCAACGAGCGGCTGAGCGAAGGCCGCAGCGGCGCGTTTGTCTTTACAACCAGCAATCGACGATTCCTTGTCAAGAGCATGACGAAGGGCGAAAAATCGTTCTTGATCTCGATCATGCCAGCGTATGTGCAATACCTCAAGTGGAACCCTTCTACGCTCCTCCCGCGCTTCTACGGCGTCCACGCGATGAAGCTGTACGGCAAGATGTTTTACGTGGTCGTGATGGCCAACATCTTTCCATCGCGCGAGGTCATTCATCGCCGGTACGACATCAAGGGCTCCTGGATCGACCGCAACGCCCCCGTCTGCGTCATCAACGAGAAGTATCGGTGCGCAAACTGCAACAGGCAGTTCGTGTTTGGGGGCCAGGAAGCGTGCAGCTCGAGCGTCGGCGAACACTATCCTGACATTACGCTGAGGGACAACGACTTGAAGAAGCGCATCAAGCTGCCCCGAGGTAACGATGAGCTCGAAAGACGGTGTGTCATGCATGTGGGGGGGGTGAACGCTGTAGAGACGTCCCATGCAGTGCTCAAGCAGATCGCGCGGGACAGCGACTTTCTCTGTGGGCTGGTACGAGAGACTCACGGACGAGGGACGACGTCGACTTGATATCTGTCCAGGGCATCATGGACTACAGTCTGTTGATTGGGATGCACTACTCGCAGTTTAAGATCACCAAGGGCGACGATCATCGAACGTACCGCCGAGGCAACGACTCACCTGGACCAACGTCGAAGGTGCATGGAAGCTTCACTCGGTGGGATGCCTCGCCACAGTTGACGCATCGGAGTCGATTCGAGTCCCATTCGCTTTCGTCCAACAAACGCCTCGAGTCGTCCCTTGCGCGCGATGACGATGCCGACATAACAGACAGCTACAACCCATCCAGCGGCTTTGGATACGTGAACCACCGGTACAATGCCGACGTCGTGTCCGGTCCGAGCGCGTACTACATCGGCATCATCGACATTCTTCAGCGATGGACGCTGAGCAAGCAGTTGGAGCGAGTGTACAAGGTGCACGTGCTGCAGAAGAACGGGCGCGGCATCTCCGCGATCCATCCGAACCAGTACGCGAAACGCTTTCAGATGAAGATGTGCCAGCTCCTGTATCAACCCGAAGATGGCGAAGATGACTGAGCGTCATGGCAATGCACGGCTCGTTGTTGCAGGAAGAACGATGCGTCGGTTAAAGGCGCGCACGCCGCCGCCACGACGCGATGCGCGCAGACGCATGGTACACCCTTGCCTTGTCGGGGTTGTTGTCGTGGAGCGATTAAAAGGTTTCTATTTTGACACTGAAAGTAGTATCAAAACTCCTGGAAATAGTATCATATTCCACTCAAAATATTCGACTCCTCGTGTCTCATTTTGCTGGAGAGAGAGAGACAAAATAGTCCACGACACATGAAAAACAGTGTCACAATGTCCAGGAAGAATTCTCGGTATATTTGTTTTTAAAGGTTTCGTTTTTCGACCAAATTGGCTTGATTTGAGTATACACTTGGTCGTAGCAGATCAAAAGTGGCAGGGTGGCATTTTATTTGAGACTGCGGCTGCCATGGATCTGGTGGTAGATGGAAAGCGAACGTCGGGCAAGGATGTCCGGGAACAGAATGTGACGGCGGCGCTTGCCATCGCGAACATCGTCAAGTCTTCCCTGGGCCCTGTGGGTCTGGACAAGATGTTGGTACGTTCTCCTGTCTCCTGAATGAGTCCTTGATTCGCCACCCTCTTTGCACATATGCAGTTGAGTTCGCTTCTCCCCTGACAGTGCCGGTTGCTTTCACATGTAGGTGGATAACATCGGTGACGTGACCATCACGAACGATGGCGCGACCATTTTGAAGATGCTGGAAGTCGAGCATCCTGCCGGCAAAGTTCTCGTTGAATTGGCGGGGCTGCAAGATCAAGAAGTCGGTGACGGCACGACGTCCGTTGTGATCATTGCGGCCGAGCTGCTCAAGCGCGCGAACGAACTTGTTCAAAACAAGATCCATCCCACATCCATCATCTCTGGCTACCGTTTGGCAATGCGCGAAGCTGTCAAGTACATTAAGGAGCATCTGAGCGTGCCAGTCGACTCGCTTGGACGCACGTCCCTCGTGAACGCTGCCAAGACGTCCATGAGCTCCAAGATCATTGGTCCCGAGAGTGAATTCTTTGCGAACCTGGTCGTAGACGCAGTCACTTCGGTCAAGACGACTGAAGAAGGCGCCAAGGGGAAAGTTGTCACCAAGTACCCTGTGAGTGCGATCAACGTGCTCAAGGCCCACGGGAAGAGCGCGCTGGAGTCTCAACTCGTGGACGGGTTTGCTTTGAACTGCACGCGAGCGTCGCAGGCGATGCCTACGTCTGTGCGACCGGCAAAGATCGCGTTGTTGGACTTTGACTTGCAGCGACACAAGATGCAGATGGGGGTGCAGATGGTCGTGAACGACCCAAAGGAACTGGACCAGATCCGACAGCGCGAAGTTGACATCACGAAAGAGCGCATTCAGAAGATCCTGGACGCCGGTGCGAACGTCATCTTGACGACCAAAGGCATCGACGACCTTTGCATGAAGTACTTTGTGGAAGCGGGGTGCATGGGTGTTCGCCGCTGCAAGAAGGAAGACTTGCGCCGCATCGCCAAGGCCACTGGCGGCCAAGTCGTGCTCACGCTGGCCGACATGGACGGCGGCGAAACGTTTGACGCGGCGTCGCTCGGGACGGCGGCCGAAGTCAGTGAAGAGCGCGTTGGGGACGGCGAGCTCATTTACATCAAGGGCTGTGCCAACCGTCAAGCGACGACCGTCGTCTTGCGTGGTGCGAACGAGATGTTGCTGGACGAAATGGACCGATCGCTGCATGATTCGCTCATGGTGGTCAAGCGCATGCTCGAGTCGAACCAGTTGGTGGCCGGCGGCGGCGCCGTCGAGTCTGCGCTCTCGATCTACCTGGAAACGTACGCAACGACGCTCGGGTCCCGAGAACAGCTCGCGATTGCCGAGTTTGCCGACGCGTTGCTCGTGATCCCTAAGACGCTGGCCGTGAACGCGGCCAAAGACGCGTCCGAGCTCGTGGCGCGGCTGCGGGCCCACCACAACACTAGTCAGACAGACGCGGCGCAGACGGCCCTGCGATTCTCGGGCCTCGACTTGCAGCGAGGCAATGTGCGCGACAACTTGGCGGCCGGCGTCGTCGAGCCCGCGATCAGCAAGATCAAGAGCTTGCGATTCGCGACGGAGGCGGCGATTACGATTCTGCGCATCGACGACATGATTCGATTGAATCCGAAAGAAGACGAGAACCAGTAAAGCACAGTTTTAATTCGACACGTGATAGCAGTAGGGGTTGGCAACGTGAGCGGCGTGTTGGCTGGACGATGGACGACGCCCGGACCGCCGCGACAACGAGATGGCTACCCTGTGGCGTCGTCCTCGGCGGCGGCGGCGGCGTCTCGCTGCTTTTTGAGCGCGATCGCCTGGACGCGCTCGTCGTCCGTGATGAAGATCCCGTCAAGTTTCTTTATCCGTGGAAGGAGCAAAAGCATGTCCAGTCTGTACGACTCGAGCTCGGTCACGGCATTGCCTGCGCCAGGACGTTGGTCGGGAAGGGAGGCAGGCACGGTCTACCTGTGAGGTCGACGTCGGTGAGGAACTGGAACTGCTGCAGCGTCGTCAGGACGTCGAGTGTGGCCAGCTAGACGACGGCGTCAGGAACGGCAGACATCAAAGGCGGCGGCTTACTTGGTTCAGGTCGATGCTGAGCGACGCAATGTTCGGAAACGCTTCGAGGCCGGCGAGCGTCGTGAGTTTGTTTTCGCTCTACGTTCCACGTGACGTACGGACGGGGGCGCGGACAAGCGGTACGAGGACGAGGTGGTCGACGTTGGGCATGTCGGTCGGCAACGAGATGGCGGCGATGTTGTTTCGCGCAAGCTCCACCGACTTGAGCGCAGGCAGGTTGGCCAGCCCATCCATGGCTGAGAGCTGGTTGCCTGCGCGATCGTTGCGTGCCAGATCCAGTGAGAGTCTCGTACCGTTCAGCTTGAGCGACACAATGCTGTGGCCCTCGGCATCCTCGAGGGTCGTGAGCTGGTTCTTGGACAGGTCGACGTCCTAGTCGTGGTGGTGGTGTCAGGGGCTATCGTGCCGCACGGCACGCACCTTGAGAAAAGCGTGTTTGAACTTGGGAAAGGTCGCGAGGTGGTTCTCCGACAAGTTGACGCTGACGAGGTAGTCGAGCGCCGCCAACGCGTCCGTGACGTCCGTTAGATTGTTCTTGGACACGTTGACGAACATGACGTGGGGGAATGCTCGGATCGGGTCCAGCGACGCGATGCCTTTGTCCTACCACAAGCACGAGATCCCCACCACGGACATGACCAAGCACTCACGACGAGATCGAGGGCGGTGAAGGCAAATCCAGAGTTGTCGCCGGTCCGGTCAATGCGACTCAGTCCGTCCGAGAACGGCACCGACGACGGGGCGGCGACGTCGGCACTCATGACGAGAGACGATGGTGCTGACGAGGGCGAGCTGGTCCAGTGTTCAGACCCAAACGACGCGCCGTTTCACCGATGAAACTGTCATTCCGTGCAACGGCAGCCGTCCATTTCGACCAGACGCACCGCCAACGCGAGTGTGTGTGGTACGGAATCGAGTGTGTACTAAATTACTGAGGTTCGCGGCTCCTACGTCCTCGTACTGGCATCGCTTGCCGGCTTCACTTGCGGATCGCGTGGGCCACCGCGGTCCATAGCTGCGGGTCGTCAATGCGGTGGTGCGATTGCAGCCACTCGTGCCAGTCGGCGAGCGTCTCCGGGCCGCTTCGACGCGGCACTGTCTCGAGAAGGAACGACGCGTGTGCTCGTTGAATCTACATGGTGGCAACGCGTCAACGATGCAATCCAGGCTCTGTCCACAACGTACCTCGTCGACAAGCCGTGTCGTTTGCGCCGCAAACAACACGGCGTCGGCACCCCCCGCCGGGATCTCGTGCGTCGACATGGACAGCGACATGGCCTTGGCAAGCAGCATCGCTTCTTCGTCGTGCGTGGTCGCGTCGGCATCGTCGCCGTGGTTGTCCAGGCGTTTGTAAAAGAGCAAGTACACCGAATCGGACACGGAGCTCTCGACGCACGCATTCATGTCGCTCCAGTTTGTCGTGGTCACGTTCATGTCGTTGAATTTGATCCACGGCGCGGCCGGGTCGTCTTCGAGATGGAGCTGGTTCGACGACGTCGACCGGCAAAAGCTGTAGTAGTGGCCCGAGTTGGCGCTGAGCCCGCTGTGCACCAACACGCCATAGAGGCCATACGCGCGCGGGCTCGTTTCGAACGGGGTGTCGGCATCGCTGAGCGTCGTTGCGTCTTCGGGGGAGAGCGGCGGCAGCGTCATGAAGGCCGGGAACGACACATCGTGGAGGCTCTTGCATGTCTTTTGGACCTTCCAGTCGTAGTGCATGCGCTTGAACGTCAAGATGAGATGCGCGGGGGGGGTCATGACCACCGAGTGGACTCGCGATTCGGCGCGCTGGTGGCACCCGCTGCACGTAAAGTCGCCGCCGAGCGTCTTGGCCGATCCAAACCGATGCAGCAACGACGCCACCGAGTGTTTCGACACGCGCTCGGACGAGATGAGCTTGCCGTCGAGCCACTCGCTCCCGTAGTCCTTCTTGTACGCGACCTGGACGTAGCAGTCCTTGATTAACGTCCACTTGCCCGTCTCCGCGCCCTGCCGGCTCCACCACCCGTCCGCGACCGGGATGCCGCCGTCGATGCCGCGATCGCCATGGAGGGAAAAGTCAAAGCCAAACACACTCACGCCACTTGTGGCCGCCACCGTCTTGTTGTACGACAACAGACTGTGCCCTGGTGCAGCTTCCCACAGCCCGACGCACCTGAGCTTAGTCCCAACTGGGTACACAACCCCTCGCACGACTCCGGACGCGCCTGCCCCCGACGACATGCCCGCCGCCGTGACGTACAAGTTGCCGAGCAGTTCGGTCGATCGAACGGATTCCAGCACCGTCACGTTCATGCGGCCCCACAACGACGTATCATACTGACCGTTCAACGCATGGTCGACCACACAAGTCGGTGCGCTCGTGTCCATCCGTTTGATGGCCAAATGGATGGCTTTGTTCTGGACTAACGACGCGTCCATGCCGAGCGGCGTGTGCTGGAGCTTCGTGTAGCCCACAGGAACGGTCGGAGTCGTAAGGACCACGATATCGGACAAACCTGGCGCCGCGTCATCGCGCTTGAAACAAATGAAAATGCATACGTCTTTGGACGTTGGGTTGAGGTTGGCGCTGGCGCCGCCCACCGTGGCGTCCATGCACGTGTAGTCGTCTGGGATCGGGTCGATGCCACCGTACACGACGCACACGTCCTGGACGGGCGCGGCGCCGTGGTCCCGCCGGACGACCAGGAACAGGTCGCTATGGAGACAGCACAAAATCGATGCCCCTGGCGGCAGCGCGCGGGCTTCCTCGCCGCGGGCAATCAGGAGGTCTGTAATCGGTCGGAGGATCGGCGCCACTTGGTTGGACACTTGCGTCGCGCGGAAATTGACGAGCTTCGCTTTGCCGTCCCCGACAACCCCGTCGACAAGAATGGTTGCTCCGCCACCAGTCGGGTTCATGTCGCGAAAGACAAGATGGACGAGCTGCGGCGTCTTGATCGTCGAGTCTGTCCAGGATCCCCACAGCACATGGGTATGGACGTGATGCGATTGCACGATGCCCGTGATGCGCCCGTGGTTTTTTCCAAACGCACCCGACACGACGTAGGACGGGCTAAGATTCGGCGCCGTGTGGGTAAATTTGACGGCGCGGAAAGCGCGGTCGACATCGTCGCCACCGTTCCATTCGCCCAGCAACAGATCCGGCGTGAGCTCCGCGACTGGCGGCGGCGCCAGCACCGAGATCGTTTCGTAGTCGCTGTACTTGGGCACCATCTGCGGGCTTCGAAACACTTCGATCGCGTACAACGGGTTGCCGTGGCCGCGCTGGAGCATGAGATGCTGCTTCTGTGGCGTGCTGGGACATGTTTCGGCCAACGGAGACGACCAGCTCAACTTCAAATCTTCCCATGCCGCGGTTTCGTATGCAGCAACATCTTCTTCCGGCACGAGGCGAAGGCCAGTAATGCACGGACCCGTGCCGCCATCCGTGTGAGCAAGGTACTGCGACCCATGGCCCTACCGAAACAAGTTTTTCAACACATGGGGCAGTCAGACAACGACCAACCTCTGCGAGCTGCAGCGACCGATCAATCATCTTGTAGCCAGGCAGCCCCTGGGTGACGAGCTTGATGTCGGTGACTGGCATGTCGCAACGGTAGCAGAGAAAGACCTTGGCGCCTTCCCCTTGGTTCAGGTCCACTCGAATCACCTTGAACCCGTCTGGCACGGCGTCGTGGCCGTAGATGACAGTCAAGTCCGTGATGGGCGATCCGGTCGGGTCGCTCGCGTAAAACAGATAGACTTGTTTCTTTCGGCCCGGGATCGTTTCGGTGGTAGCGGCGCCCGACGCCGCATTCTTGAATGGCGACGCATTCCCGCCACGGCTGTTCGTGCTTGTTCCCATGTTCAGGTCCAACTCGACACGGGTATACCCGCTCAACGTTGGCTTGGGGTCGTTGGCATCGCACACCTTGACGGTAATGTCCGTGATCGGCGTCGCGCGCTCGTCCCGCTGGACACACAAAAACACGTACGGCGCCCCCGTGCGATCTTTATTCAGGTCGTAGTTGAGCCGGTCAAAGTTGCGGGGCGTCGGGATGCGGAGCGAGGTGCCGTGGACCCCACAAATGTTTGTGATCGGCGTGTACCGGAGGTCGACCATGTTGAGCAGGAGCTCCCAAAAGTACTCTGTCGTGACGCTGACGTGGTTGCAGTCGGGCGCCTTGCATGCGACAATCGTGGCTTGTGTGCCGCCGAGGAGGCGGTGAATCGCGTCGTCAAATCCGGCCGAGATGCTCTCGACCAGAAAGTGGGCGAAATCGCACACGTCTTGCTGTCGGCCCGCTTGAAACGTTGTCGGGAGAACCTTTTGGAGGTCGTGTGTGGCCAGCGATGGAGCGTGCGTCACCAGCATGCGCGCAAAGAGCACTTGGAGCGTCTGCAACGTTGCGTTGGGGACAGGCTCGGGGCTCGCCAGCACTTGGTCGCGCAGCGCGTGCGTCATAAACAAGATCTGGAGGAAGCTGTTTTGGTAGCACACGTTCGTGAGTCCTTGCTGCATGTTGACCAGGCCCGAGTGAAACGGTACGTCCTCGGCGCGCAGCCCGCGGATTTGGGTTGTCAATGGCGTGTACTCGCACTTCCAAATACCGGTGCCGTCGCCACGGTACCAGTAGCCCTCGAATTGCCGAAGGGACGTCCATACCAGCACACACGCATTGTCTTGCGCGGTGGCGTTTGGCTTGTACGTACCACGCAGTTCCAACCGGTGGTCTAGAGTCTTCAGGACCCCGCTCACGGCGCCGTCCGATGTCTCAGTGTACTGGCCGTGCACAATGTCTCCGACAAAGTGGTCGCCAAAGTGCACAGTCATGACGCCTTGTGACGTTTCCCACACTTCGACTTGTAGCCCACCGAGGCTGTGGGCTGGCAAAAGGCGCTTTTTGTGCTCGAGAAGTTCGCGCTTCTTGTCCAGCCAGTGCGCCGCGTGTTGGTCTAGCGCTTGCGACACCATCGTCACGGTTTGGTCTGGCATGGTCGGGGTGGTTGGTACAGGAATGGCGACAGGCATGGCCAGTGGCACTGGTTTCATGGTCCCGCAGGTCGAGCACTTGACATCGGACGCTTGGTTGTGCATGGTGCAGGCACCGCAGGCCCATGGGCCAGCGACTTCGGCGGCAGCGTGGTACAAGCTCAAGATGCCATCGTTGGTTGGAGAGGCCGACGTTGGCAAAGGCGACGTACCCACCGGCCGGGCGGTATCGCAAATCGAACACTTGGACCAGGTCCATTCGTTGAGCATGGTGCACGCCGGACAGGACCACTCACCAGTGGCCTCTGCCACAGGGACGAGACCTGCTGGATGTAGTGGCGACGACGGCATCGTGGACGGCAGCGGGGATTTGCATGAGCACACCGAGCATATCGAGACGGACGTGGCGTTCACGACCGTGCACTGGGGGCACCGCCACAAGTTGAAATCCGGGGATCCGCGGGCGGAAGCGGGCACGGCATAACACTGACACGTCTCGGGTCCGCGGGTGTGGCACCCGCATGCGCCGTTTACCTTGCCCATCCAGACGAGTTCGTGACCTTGATGGCAGATGGACGCACAAGGAACGCAAAAGACGAGGTTCGAGTTGCATGTTTGGCACATGTAGAGCTCTTGAATGATCGCGCTGCCGTCCGTGAGATGCTTGGTGCAGCGCACGATGTCTTCCTCCGTGGACGCGTCGGCGTCGTCGACAGCGGGGGGATCCAGCCCATAGACAGCACGGATCGCGGAGACGTGGCCTGGCGTGTCGTGGGGCGGTTCAACGCTAAAAGACCAACTGGCCAGGCTCAGAGTGGCGTTCAATTCATGCGGACTCACAAGCCCAACGCGAGTGCGCTTCAAGTCGGAGCCAAGCACGGCACGGAGGTCCAACGAAAGGACCGAGACGAGGCGGTTGTTCAACAGAGCCGACAGCGTCGTGCCGGTGTACGCGAGTCGAATCGTTGGTGGGTCGATTGAACGGCTTGCGACGGTGTGCACCACACTCAAGCAGTGCAGGGCCTTGTTGGCCCAAACAAAAACCCCAACGGTCGTGTTGGGGGTGTTGGACGGGGAGCTAGAAGACGTCGAAACTTGAACAAACAAGGCGCGCTGGGCTGCTCTGCCAGGGACGGCATGGGTGTGGATGAGGGTAGCTTCGTCAATGAAAGGTTTCAAGTCCCAGAACGACACACTGCTCCAGGCGACGCACACAGACGACGACGGCTGAGCAGACGACAACACGAGGTCGGTGTGGAACCCTGCATGGGACGACAGATTCACCGACTCTTCAAACCAAACGGCAGATCCAGAGTGCAATTCCAAGTGATCGTGGGCTGGCACTACGTGGCCAAAGAAGCTGAATCCATGGGTCGAGCGCCAGCGATGGCCTTGCGACGGCAGATTGGCGAGATCCACGGCAGAAATTGGCAATGTGGCGCTCGACGCAGACTCGATGCGGTGGTACTCGTCCAACCAACTCGCGTGATTGCCGTGGCGGGTGAAGTCTCGGTGGAGGGTGTCGCCTACCAGTGGAAAGTACGCGACCAAGTCGGCTTCGTCCCCGTGCAACGCGACCCGCGAGCGTTGTGCCAGTGTTTCGACGTTCATGGCAGCGGACCACATGCGCAACTCGACCAAATTGCCTTGGAAACAACTATCGACGCCATAGACTACCCGAGGAAGGTTCAAGAGCCCGATGGAAGTGGCAATGGGGGCTGTCGGAGCGCCCCCCAACACGAGAACTTTGGCAGGAGTGTGACCTGGACGGCGCGGGACTTGACTGGCAACTTGGCCGTTCACGACAAGGCAATACGACTGCGCATGCCACACCAGCGCGACATGAATAAACGAAGTCAGCGCGGCGCTTGCAAAATCACGAGCAGTCAGCTCTGTCGGTCCCACCTGCCACACGAGATGGCCCTGCGGGGTGATACCGACTGTAAATTCTCCATTGCTCATAACCACTTGATGGCACGGTCGCAACACGTGCGGCAAGCAGGTCCAGAATTCAATCGTGCTGGTTGGAAAGTTGCTCTGCAAGTTGCTCTTCTCGACGATGAGGCAGTCGGACGCGACGCCGCGGGGCGTGTATACTGATGCTCGTAAATCCACATCGGCCGACATGCGGAGGTCAAAGGCAGACTGCTGGCGCTCGCGACGGGCCAACCACTTGCCGTGCTGCTCACCACGGCTCCAGAGCACGTCCATAAACGTTGCGTCGTTGCTCTGCAGCTTGGCAGAGAACGGCGCTGGGTTGCTGCGATTTGAAGCCGACGGGGGCGAATTACCCAGGCCCTCGACGGTCGGGGCTGTAGCGCCGCACGTCGTACACACGTGCGCGCTGCTGCTGTTGGTAACTGTGCACACGGGGCACGACCATTCCTGCAGTGGGGCTTGCATTGTGTTGGGCGCGTTCGCATCTAGAACGTACTGCCACTGTCCTTGAAATCGTCGAAGTTCACAGGACTCGAGCTCCGAGACGACATCCCCCGTGAGCTCCAGGAGCATCTTGTCCGAGTTGTACGAATCATGTACGGTCGCAGCGAAGGATACCCCGTGGCACGCGCTGACTTGGCGGAGGACAACGGAGCCGGCGTTGCGGTTCGTCCGTGAGCTTGTGTGGGCGTCCGCGATGGAATTTTCATCTAACGTCCACAGACCTTCTACGGTCGGAATGCAGTCGTTTCGAATGGCTTCAGATGGGACAACCCATGACGCTTGGCGAATGGCGTGGTCGATCTCGCTCGCGGTCGGGTGGTGGAGGCCCAAGTTCGCAACCAATTTGGACAAGGCAACATTCAAATGTTTGCAACTGGGGTGTAGGCGAGCAAGACCGCATACTGTGAGGACGAGGGTACGACCAAGGAACGCGCGGTCATCCGGAGCGTGGTCGGGTGCTTGGAGCCATTGCTCGACCGTCTCAAGATGAGTCAAGAGCCGATCACGACCACCTAAGTACAGAGCAGACGAATGCTGGTACCCTAAGAGCACATCCATCGTAAATTTCAGCACGGCACTGTGCAATTTCCCGTCTGCAGGCGGCTTGCGTCGAGAAAAGAGCACATCCACGAGCGACAGGAGCACGGGCAAGAGGTCGTTGCATGTCGTATCCAGTGCTGCGAATTGCTTCGTCGCCTTCAACCCGTCGAACACAGCGCGCACTAGGTCCAACAATTGCACGAGGGATGGCGAAGGGTCGTTCACATGTTGCTGGACATGGTCGAGGAGGTAATTGACGCCGTCGACAATGCGCTTGGCATGGGCGTCTGGAGCGAGGTGTTGCGTTGACAGCAGTAAGCCCGCATCCCTTAGCCCATCTAGACTTGGGGGTGGTCTCCCCGAAGGCTTTGTTCCGCAGTTGTAAGCAGCCCACAACTCTACGATCGCCATGGGGTGTCCGATCAGGGCCGTCAGGTGCCCCAGGCGTTGTCAGTCAGATCTGCAATTTCGCATAAAAAAGCCCGTTCTTCAAATATCTCATGAAAAATCAACGCCATCTTGTCAAATTTCATCTCAAAATGCAGCCGAAATTCGAGAAATTTCCGTCTTTTTTCAAAGTCTGCACGGTGGATTTCAGTTGAACGTGTTAGAAATACTTGAATATGAAAATTCCGATTCGATGGATTAAATTAAGGGACGAGGAGCTTCCGTCGGTTTGCATCGATGCGGTAGATCCACTGGCCGTAGTCGTAGCTCGAGTCGACGCCGAACGTGTGGATGGTGCCTTCGTAGTAGATTCTGAGATAGTGCCGCTTCACGTGTAGTGGAGACGTGGTGTGGATGAGTTGGATGCGTCGCAGGTCGAAGTTCTTGCACGGGACCGACGCCCCTTGGTTGTAGATGGTCAGGAACGTCTCAGTCAAGACACCCCACTGAATAATGTCGGGGCCATTTTGGCACCACGAGAGCGACGACTCATAGGATAAACTGTTCTTCACGTACAACTTCCCCATGCGAGTCTTGATGGCTGCGAGGGTTTTGCTGACGGTATTGGGGCGAACGGCCAACTGGCCCGAGAACGACGTCATGGAGGCGTTCAGCGACACCACGCTTAAGCCGACGTGACCATCCAGCAGCCGATCCGAATTCTGAAGTTGAATGTCCACAGGATACCGATACGTTTGGAATGACACGCGCTGGATTTGGTTGAAAGATGTCCACCAGTCCTCGACATGCAGAATCGCCTGGCCGAGGAAGATGGGGTACTGGAGCTTGGACGGCTCTGCTACTACGGTCACGATGACATCGTACTTGCTCGACATGATCGGGACGAAGAATGGCGGTTGTTTTGACAACATCTTCGTCTTGGTCATCTCTGACTTGTATTGGTACATGAGAGGGCCATACGGACGCCGCAGCACTGTCACGATGCAGTACACGCCTAGACGTATCCATTTGTCGGACACATGGATTTCGTGGATTTGGAGCTGCGCTGGTCGGCCAACTTGAGCTTGGAGACGCGACTTCAACTCTCTCGAGAAGTGGCAGCGCCATGCGAGTTGAATCTTGGTCGCCGCGACGTCGTACGGCATGGTTTGTAAGGTCCTGCACGAGTCGTTGTCCTCGTTGTCGTCATGACTTGGCGCTACAGGCCGTAGCTCACCGAGCTGGTTGTTGCAGCCGTTGCCGTATTTGCGAAACAGGAGTTCGCCTTGCTCCTTGGTTGTACGGCTGAGTTTTTTCTTGGACTTTGTGGGCTTCACACGCAGTCTCAAGGGAGGTGTAGATGGGATGTACTGAACTGGGTCGCCGAACATGTTGACCGTGAGGGAGCTGATGGCGCCGTCGGCCTCGGCGCGGGCAAGTGCTTCAGTGACCTCAACAGGACTAAGTAATGCGGTCCCATTGGCTGTCGCAAACACCTGTTCACGATGTTTTTACAAGCCAACAGCATTTAGTAATATTCAATACTACGTAGTATTTTAATAACCAAGCATGCAAATCATTGCGCCTTTTGCACAGGATTGTAGCAGCTGGGAGAGACGCCAAATTCATCGACTTCTAGTAGTACTAGCTAGGATGGAGAAACGTCTTCACTCATCAAAGAGGCGGCACGGCAGAGGTAGAGCGGGTCAAAAGCTTTCGTGGCATCTCTGCTGGTCCCATGGCAATACCTCGTTCGTGCTGGGTAGCACGAGGACCTGCGTGGGCGAAATGGCGTGGGAGGTTCGTTGCAGCAAAGATGTCAGTATTCGAAACCCGCGTTAATGAGGGTAGAATGCAAAATTAATTACACTATTTCAAGCCCCGCGCTCACACTAATAAAGGGTCGAATAACTGGCAGAGATCGCCTATACTCATTTCCTGAACAAGGCGGCAGGCATGGCGACTCGCGGTGTGTGGCAACTGCAGAAGCTTACCATTCGATACTGCCAATATGGCGGCAGCAGCAAGAACGTGCGGGAAATGCTCAAGGACTCCCGCTTTCTATCGTTCGTGAACGAGAACCCTCAGGTGTCTTTTGCGACGGAAGTCAAGAGCAACAAGCACCCGATTCTGATCGGCGAGTACATCACGAACGAAAAAAAGGTGTGTGACGTCAAGAACCAAGACATCCCGTTTGTGCTCTCGCAGATGCAGCGCATGCGCGACACGAGTGGCCGCAAGATGACCAAAATCAACGCGCCCGTGATCTCGAAGCGACCAACAATCCAAGGCATTTGGCAGCCCGAAACACAAGACATGTTCGACCAAATGACGTTCCAAGTCGAACATCGCTTGAAGTAAATATCTAGAGTAGGGTCGTGCCTGTGGCAATGAAATATGGACCACCATACTGACCGCACCAACGGTCTTCCTTCCGCCCTGTCACTAGCCGGTGTCCTGTCAGCGCGACTTTTCATATCGTGGGAGGTGTCCAGCGGGAAATCCATGCCCATGTGCGACCAGATCACACAAAGGGGCGCGATGGAGGGTAAGGTATAGTTATCGTAATACAATTCGTCGCATCTAGAACCCGTGAAGTTGGATCTGGGCTTCCGTGCAGATTTCTTGGTCGACTAGGAACGCCTTGACGTTTGTGCGTTGATCACCGGAGAGCTGAATGACTTCGCCTGACTCTTCGTCCTTGACGATGGCACCGTTGCAACTGAAGTTCTTCTTGAATGCCTTCAATATGCGCTTGATATCCAAGTCATCGGCGAGGCCTTGCACAGTCGAGATACACTTGCGCCCGTTCCGTTGTTGTACCCGAACGTGCACCTTGCCGCCGCCCATGCCCGAATTGTCGGCAGCATCTTCAAAAGCATCTACTCAACAAAGATATCCGCATAAGGACATGACTTCCTTACCGCTTCTTCCGCGGTTTTCGCGCGAGGAATAGACTTACTGAAGTTGGTGAAGTTGGGAATCGTTGCCATCTCGATAAACTCAGCAAGAAGGATGGAAGTGAATGGCGAAGGAACACAGGCAGAAGGTACTTTCTCAGATAGCACTTTATCGAGTGGTTTGTACTCTTGCTTACTTTAGCGAATGTTTAGTACTTAGGAGGAGCGGACTTAATTAAGTCAAATATCGAAACAACGTTGGACAGTTTGTGGCGCCGGCAGCATCATGAGTGACCCTAATCCGTCGTTGATGCTCTGGGAGAAGCGAAAGCGCGTCAAGCCAACGCTGTTTCAGGTGGAAAGCGCCGCAAAGAAGGTCAAGGTTGCGCCGTTGCGGCAGCCACCACGAAAGGGGGCACGACAGACACCATCGAGGAGCAAAAAACCTCGGTCGGCACAACCAGCATACGATGAAGACGACGAACCGACATCTCCTGCAAAGGACGTGGCTACTGCGAGGTCGAAGAAATCGTTAAAGTCCGCCTCGCTCAAGGATGTGAATGTACCCAGTGTGCCGGAAAGCGTGCTGAAGCTCATTGGAACGCCGTTCTACGACGAAGACGGTGCCGAGTGGCATGGGACGACCATCGATTTCAACGACCTTGCAGAGCTTCGAGGGATGTGGCAGCTACCTGCAGCGTGTCATATTCTATGGCTTCTGCAGCAGCCTTTGAAATTGAAGGTGTACAACTCGCTTCGGGAATACGAGGCGGCGCTGCTGAACCCCACAACCAGCGCAGTGCTTGAGGACGTGTTCACGAAGCTTCTTCTCGGCAAGAAAGAGCGCGAACGACTGAACTGTGGATTGGGTCTCGCATACGACTGGTGGAGCAAGCGGCTGCAGGAGTTCTACTCTGAACGATATAGAAAGTGGAATGCGTTGAAGGACAAGGCCAAGGCCCGTCAACCCACAGCCTCTGCCGACGACGTCGACGATGACAACGATTCGCTTGATACGATCGGTTTGAATGACGACGATGCGGTGCTTCTCACGACCATCACGACGAGTTTGAAGCCGCTTGGCAGCCAAAACCCTTTGCAGGTTAGATGACAACGACTCGCTGTAAGCTCGTAGGTGCTCACTGACGTTTTGTAGACGAGTGAGTACAAGGACCTGTCGCCCAGTCTTCGTTGTAAAGTGTTGTTGAGTTTGTGCGAAACAGTGGTGCAGCAACCAGGCAACTTGTTCGTGGCGCAGCAACAAGGACGCTCGGACTCATCACGCTATCGTTGGCGTAGGGAATACATTCGAGAAATGCAGGACGATGACTTGCGCGTGACTCCCATTGGGGTCGATCGATGTGGCAATCAGTACTTTTTTTACCCACAGTTCTACCTCGTATGTGACTGTGTCGCGTCTTGGTCTGATGCAAGGACAGGAACGAAGAGTGTATCGGCTCTCGGACGATCCAAAGGCGGACGAAGGGAAGGTGTGGCAGCTGTGGGCCAAGGGTCTCGAGTCGGTGCAGTCGATGCGGGAAGCCTTTGGCTCTATCGCAGCGAAGAAGGGCAAGAAGTGGCCAGGAGAGTCGTCTCTGATCGATCATCTCGACGCTATGCTCGAGTTGATGAGACAGGATCGCATCGAGGAGCAGAAGAACGAAGACAGGGCGTTGAAGCGCGTAAGTCGTGCACACAGTAGAGGAGGCGTTGATGATGTGGAATGTGGTGGTGAATGTAGGCGATCTTGGAAGCGATGCCTAGGAAGCGATCAGCGCGCATTCAAGTGAAAGCGCTGGAGAAGTTTGAGGATGAGAGCCAGCGAAAAGCCCAGGCGCAGGCTGAAGAGGAGGCGCGCGCAGGTACAAGACTTGTAGAGAGTGTGTGTTGAATCGTCACGGGGTCACATGAGACAGAACAAAAGCGCGTCGAGTTGCTGGCGAGCATGGAGCGAGAGCGCGAACAACAGGCGAAAAAGTTGGCAGCCCTTCGCGAGCAACGAGTGGCGTTGAAAATCGACCGAGAAACGCGACGACAGAAACGAATGGAACAGGAAGAATCGCAGTTCGAGAAGGAACGACTGGACCGCGAAAGCCAGGAGCAACTTGCCCAGCAACAGCAAGCACAACGGGAACTGCGGGCTTTGCAACGGCAGCAAGGGTCGTCGTCATTGCCTGGGGACTCTCCCATTGACATCACAGTTGCAAACCAACAGGATGACACCGCTTATGTCAAGACTCCGCCTGACCAGAATCAATCAAGCGCTGATTGAACAAACTTGACTGCGTAGCTCGTGACGGCTGCGATGTGACTACGACTTGTAATGTGCCATGCACGGTCGGTTGCTGAGTCCAACGGTGCACTTAACTCTTTCTAAATATTGTTGCAAGAGGCACACTATTCGCTCGAGTGGGTTCCGAACTGGCTGTGGCAATTGGTGAACGGTGCCGAACCATGCAAGTATATGCTCGCGAGCAAGGAAGCATTCTTTACATGACATGGCGTTAGTTCCAGACCCAGCCTTCCGATTCCAAGTCTAGTCGTCATCGCTGTCCAAATCGTCCAGAGGGTTTCCAGATCGCTTCTTCATCACACGAAAGAATTCGTCCTACAAGCGAGAACGCTGAGACTCGGCGATGACGGAAGTATGCTTGCATACTTCGTTGATGAGACCATCGCCATCCCGGTCGGCCTCGTCGATCATTTCCTGGAGACAACCTTGAGATGGCCTGCCTCTAGTGTTCGTATGATCGCACCTGCATCTCTTCGTCCGTGAGGTTTTCCCCCAGCTCTGTGCACACGCGCTTCAAATTCTTGAACGAGATTTTCCCCGTCTAGTCACAGCATGGGCCGCCGAGGATGATGGAAAATGCTACGTACGTTGTCGTCGTCAAACAGTTTGAAGATTTTGGCCACCTCTTCTTTCGTGTCCCTCGAGTTCTATGGAAACGGCCATTACATGAGATGCACTGGTAGCGGCACGTGCGCGAACCATGCGACTTGTCATCATTTCGACAAAGTTCTCGAACTCGATCGTGCCATTTTCATCCTTGTCAATGTCGGCGATCATTTTCCGGACCTCCGCCTTCTTCACTTGGAACCCCAACGCCCGCATTGCCGCCTTCAACTCACGGGCATCAATCGACCCACTTCCATCCGTGTCGAATAGACTAAACGCTTCTTTAATTTCCTCCATCTGCTCATCGTCCAGTGCCTAATGCCATCACATCAAGGAAGCAACCTCTTTTGTCGGTGTGTGTCACGTACCTTCTTCGCTGGCTTGGCTTTCTTCCTCAATGCCGCACGTGATCTCGCGAATGCAGATGTCGTGGCCTACGTATCGCTTCTATGTCAATGATGGTTTCTCCTTGCGCATCCGCCCCACCATCACGTTGTAAATTAGTTCGATGTCCCTTGGATTCGAAGATCGGGTCTCATATCCGGAATCCGAATAGCACTAGAGCCAGTAACTGTATGGTACACATACGCTGGATTGCCGAAACTACTGTACTAACGTAAAAGACCAATCTAAGGTGCACCGACATTCTATGGTGCACGAAAAGTACCCAATCATAAGCTTACGAATTTAGCGGCAAAACCTCCTTAAACCAATCAATGTATGCATGTCACAACACTCAACGTTTCGCGCCTCAATGAATGAACCTGGTGAACGACCTTGTCGTTCACGTCGCCGCCAGTACACTCCACAGCAACTAGAGGGTGCCGTTAACCAAGTCGTCACGGTGCTTGTGGCAAGCGTGTTGCTACGGCCTCACGCATTCCATACAACACAATCATGAAAGCTGTTCGCGCCAACAAGTGGTGTCGCAACCATACTCCAATGCGCCCGGGACCAAAGACTGCGCTCCCGTCCAGTTGCGAAAGCGACCTTGTAGCTTGGATTGTTGCCATGCAACAAGACGGGCATCCAACTGACTGCAATGCCATCATGGTCAAAGCCACTCAACCATGCGTGCGATTGACCCCACCCACAAGTCTCTCACCGGTGGCTGGTACAACCGCTTCCGTCAGCGCCACCCAGTGCATACCTCTCGCGTGGC